GGAGCTATTTATGACCACTTCTGAGCTTGTCCATTTGTCCAAATACTGATTCCTACCAAGGGTAATGCTTTTTAAGATTTGAATGATGCATTCAAGATAAGAAAAACAGGAGGAAGGAAGAGAAATTGAAATCAGTTTAGAGGAGTATCAGTGAAAAGAGGTTATGGGTCAATAAATTACAAAGGCCTTAGGACCAAATATATATGATCCTATTAATTTCTTTTTTTTTTTTAATTTTTTTTTTCAACGTTTATTTATTTTTGGGACAGAGAGAGACAGAGCATGAACGGGCGAGGGGCAGAGAGAGAGGGAGACACAGAATCTGAAGAGGCTCCAGGCTCTGAGCCATCAGCCCAGAGCCCGATGCGGGGCTCGAACTCACGGACCGCGAGATCGTGACCTGGCTGAAGTCGGACGCTTAACTGACTGCGCCACGCAGGCGCCCCAATCCTATTAATTTCTTACAGCCAACGAAACAACGTTTGACAAAGTAGGTGAACCATATCTGTTGCACACTCATATAGTTAGTGCCCTAAAATGGCTGTTTCTATCATGTTTTAAGAGTGAACAATTTCAAGTCATAATCCAGAACAGTATTATGTATAAGAAGCGTCAATTCCATTAGTTTTCTTCTATTAATTTTTTATTTACCTTTTTGGATTGCTAACATGTACACTAAGGACAAGGACAAGGATTGTCTAAGTAAGTATAATCCAAATAAAGAAGTGAAAGAATAAGAAAAGGGGTATTATTTGAAATGTGTTAAGATAATTGACTGGTAAATGAATAGCACTTGGATGAGTGAGGATGCATTTTAAACTAATCACGGCAGAAATAATTTTCCTAAAGGCCTTTTTGAAGAATATCTACTATGCTGTCCTACACACCCTCCTTGTAATCTTTTTTTAAAATGTTATTTATTTTTTTGAGAGAGAGAGAGAGAGAGAGAGAGAGAGAGAGAGAGAGAGACAGAGTGTGAGCAGGGGAGGGGCAGAGAGAGAAAAGCAGAATCCGAAGCAGGTTCCAGGCTCTGAACAGAAAGTCCGACGTGAGTCTCGAGCCCACAAGCTGTGAGATCATGACCTGAGCCGAAGTCAGAAGCTTAACTGACTGAGCCACCCAGGTGCTCCTATCCTCCCTGTGATCTTAGTCAACCTCCTTTTCCTGAAGTTTTTAGTTCAAGCACTTTTTGTTTTCATGAAGTCTTTTCAATCATTGCAGCCATTACCTGTTTATCTCTCAAGATAACTGTTCTATCTCTTTCACGTTTGTACTCCCCATGACGGGGCACACTATAAGTTCTTAATTATATTTCATAACAAATGCATCAATACTCAAGAAAGGAAAAAAAGTAAGCAAGAATGTTGCATGCAGAAGAGGGGCATTATTAAGCCAAGAGTATAGAGATGTTCAAAAAATCCAATTAGGCAGTATTTATTAAGACTCTATTCATGACCAAAGCATAGAGATTCTCGATTAAAACAGATGTATGGATTGGATTATATTAAGATTGCATGGATATAAAAAGCAGACAGTTAAAACTTCTGTTTTGTGCTATCCCAGGGGCTGTGATTTTACATTTTGGTTCCACTAGATTGTGAGTCATTTGGAGTGAGAAGAAAGAGCACATAAGTCAAGTGGAGAGCCCCATCCATCCTGGATATTTTATAGGACCTTCGGCACCTCTGCTCCATTTATTTTCACTCCTTCCAGTAAGAGATATAGTCCCTTAGGTTTGGGTAAATGATATGACCTCATTTCTTAGAATCTTCTGCCTTGAATCACTGTCTTTTATTGTCACTGGGTCAGTTCTAGAGGATTAGTGGAGGCTTTCCTTCGATGGTCTGTATTGGACATTTGACTTACAAAACTAGGTCCTGAGTTTCAGATCCACAATTTCTACCTTAATGACTTGATTAAGTTAGTTTAACTTTCTTAGCTTACGTTACTGTCCTTTGAAAGTAAGGCTAATAATATATACCTCATAAAGGTAAATGAGAGGATAAAGGACAAGTATATAAACTTTCAAAGTTATTTCTCAAGTAAATAGAAAAGTAAAGTATTATGTAGTTTATCAGAATTGTCCTTTTTATTCCTTAAATAAAGCAGAGCACATCCTCATGTCTTTATACCAAGCCATCCTGACCTCCTCCCCATACTTCAGCCAACAATTGGGCTCTAGCCTCAGGATGTCTGTTTTTGCTATTCTACCTGGAGGGCTCTTGTCTGACCTATTCCTATGGCTGCCTCCCTCACTGCCTTAAGGTCTGTGATCATATTTTACCTCATCAGAGAGATCGTCTCAGTACCCTACATAAAACAGTACTCCTAATATTTTGCTATTCCCTCTACCATGCTTTATTTTTCTTCAGAACATTTATCACTATCCACCTCTATCTCAATAAATTTATACCCCTCGAGAGTAGGGACCTTATTTATCGCTTAACCTCTGGTACCTAAAATAATGCCTGATATATATAAACCTTCCAAAAGAAATATATGTTGAATAAGTAAATACATGAATGTTCTCTAATATATTAGTGAAGGATATAAGCTTTATGAAGTGTGACTTTGTGTAGCTCCACAACTTTTCAATTTATAAAGATGAAGACAAATCTTCTAAGCCCCGAGTTTCTTTCCCAATGAAAATCTAACATTACCTCTAAGGTTGTCCTGAGTTGGCCCATGGTTGTCTAATTGAATACAATTGTTTATGCTTCAGCCACAGTAATCTCTTCAAAATGAAAACATAATTAAGTCACTATTTTAAAAAAGTCTTGTAATGACTTGCTTAGGATAAAGCACATTATTGCTTTAATGACATTCTTAGGACAAAGTTCAAGATCCTTAATTTGGTCTTGCCCAATTTAGAACCTGCTATCTTACAAACCTCAACATGTGTCATCCCTGTGTTTCAGTCTTGATGGTCTTTTTTCAGGCCTCAAATAGTATCATGGTCCATCTTGACTTCAGAACTGCATTCAACTTGCCCTCCACACTTCCTCCCTCAGTTTGTAATGTATGCTTTTGCACTCCAAACTCCTCTTCCTCCCTCCAGTCTCAGTTGAAATGCAAGCATCTATATGTCTGTTTGCCTATCAATTTATCTATTCATTCTATGTTGATAGATAGGATATTTCCACTACTCAACAAGGTTTGAATTATGAAATGGCAATTTCCTATGACTTCATCTGGGATGTCTGTTTTTCTTTGCTATACTTTAAACTCCACAAGGAGAAGGTCATGCCTTCTATCTACTATTATACCCTCAAAGCTACTTAGTTTCCTACGAATATTCTTTAATGTGCTGTCATGTGGTAGGAATTACCATTATTGTGGAAATGATATTTGTTGATTGTTTCACTGCAACATTAATTATTTTGTAAAGTGGAATCTATGACTACATGAAACTCATGAGTGATAGTGAATTACTTAGAGAAGGGAAAGGTCAAGAAAGAAAAATAAGAAGGAGGAGTTCAAGGAACAAGGGAAGACAAACTGGAGAGAGGACAACGCAAGAACTGGGATGAGAATAAAAATGAGGGAAGGAGCAAGAGAGCAAAAGGAGACGAAGGGAAGGGACATAGAAATGTTCATGTTGCAGTAACTTGGATGCTTTCAGGTCTGCCAGTGAAGGAGTAAGAGTATTTCATTGTCAGTGATTTAGACAGTCTCATTTTCAATACATATGTGGTTTGTTTTTTTGGTCTCGGTTTTAATCCCTTAGCTTAAGTGTACTGATCATAACTAATTTCTTTTTCAAATACCTCTTCTTTTCATAAATTTCTACTTCTTTAATTTGTTAATTCTAATTCTTCATCATATATTTCTGCGTTATTATTTACACTTTCTTTCTGTTGCTTGTATTACCCATTCCTCTTGATTTTCTTCCTATCAGTCATGATGTTTTCATTTCAAACACTATTTCTCATCTTCTAATTTTGAAGATTTTGCTTATATTTAAATTACTGATATATGACTTTTATAAAAATCTCAGTATCTCATCCACAAATGTCTTAAGACAACTAGGCAGATTATTAAGCAAACAAGTCAGATTATTCCTGGTTTTAAAAAGATTAAATCTTGGGGCGCCTGGGTGGCGCAGTCGGTTAAGCGTCCGACTTCAGCCAGGTCACGATCTCGCGCTCCGTGAGTTCGAGCCCCGCGTCAGGCTCTGGGCTGATGGCTCGGAGCCTGGAGCCTGTTTCCGATTCTGTGTCTCCCTCTCTCTCTGCCCCTCCCCCGTTCATGCTCTGTCTCTCTCTGTCCCCAAAATAAATAAACGTTGAAAAAAAAATTTAAAAAGATGAAATCTCAAATATTAACGACCATATCACAAGCAAACAAAAAATACATATTGCTATTTTGCAGAAGCATCATAAAAGGGCAAGGGTAAAGTAATTGTATTTCATGATTATTATCAGGAATTGTAGCAATTCCTATGAAGAAAATTTTAAGGTTGATTATTCAATAAGATGAATTTAAAAAACATAATTTCAAATTATCTTGAAAAAAATAACCCATGAAGAATGTAATTAATGCATAATTTTTTTTTTTTTTTTTTTTTTTTTTTTTTTTTTAAATTTTTTTTTCACCCTTTCTTTATTTTTGGGACAGAGAGAGACAGAGCATGAACGGGGGAGGGGAAGAGAGAGAGGGAGACACAGAATCGGAAACAGGCTCCAGGCTCTGAGCCATCAGCCCAGAGCCTGACGCGGGGCTCGAACCCACAGACCGCGAGATCGTGACCTGGCTGAAGTCGGACGCCTAACCGACTACGCCACCCAGGCGCCCCAATTAATGCATAATTTTATATGGTATTGTTGAAGAATCTACTGAGGATTTTGTATTTTATATTTTGTTTTGTCTTGCATTGAATGATATAGAAGGAATAAATATCCCCAGTGTTGGAGTTCATCAACTTCTAATAAGGGAGCCTTTGAAGCTGAAGTAACAAAGAAAATAGAAATCAAAGTGACAGTGATTGGGATCGGTCTTACCATCCAGATCATTCTCAGGAGTCTCTGCTGTATACCAGTTGGAAGGTGGTCCAGTGCCATTGACTGTCATGGCTGACACTTGGAAACTATACTGACTTCCTTTCTCCAGTCCTATAAGAGAATGTTCCAGAAAGGGGAAAAAAAGTTATTGAATAAAAAGAATTTCTAGCTTATTTCAAGAGTTTTCAAAACAGTAGACATCTTTACCTGGTTTGTGATTGTTGTGGTGATTATTATTTTGGCCAAAAGGGCAGAAATAGTACAGCAAGAAATCAAATTATTTTTCACATATTCTCATTTATTTTTTCCTAGTTTATAAAAATGTATCCCTGAAAATAGCTTCAGGGCAGATGCAGAATATAAAATATGAACGATGAAGAAATAATCAAAAATAGCAAGGATCATTTTTTCTCACAGTCTAGAAGAGGCCTGTCTATAAATCAAGAACAGTCATCCTAAAAATTTATGTCTCCATCATTTATTCAAGGTCAGTGATTATGTTTTCTTTGAGCCAAGAAAGAAGAATCCAAAGCCACTGCACTTAAGCAGAAAATACTAGGCCTTTTATCACAAGGCATACTTTATTTTGCATCACTGTCCATACTAGAAGCATGAAGAAAGTCTATCTCCATGATAACTTGGGCATATAATATTGTACATCAGGGCTTATTTTTTAGAGAGCACACAGAATACAGGTTGATGAGAGACGGCCCATGGATCATTAGTGTGATATGTATAAATTTTTATGTAAGTAATAGTCCTTTTAGCTAAATCTCAAGCAGCTCATTACCATGACAAATTATTGTAAAACAAATTACTTGCTAAAAAACCATGTGACTTTCTTCAGACAATGAGGACTTGGCTTAAACTGACAAGTCTTTAAATCTCCAAAGTTGAACAACTCTGGTAAATTTAAATTACAATCTATATTTTGTTAATCTAAAATGGCACAAATATTTGGTAACAAGAAAAATTCATAAAGAAAATAAACTATTGGAGAAATGATGCTTATCATGTACACAGTTACAGATTTGTATATTTTTGCATAGGCAGATGAGTAAATCTTGGTCTTTAGGGGAATTCTAATTTATTATTAATTGGAGACAATGTTTTAAGTGATGGTTAGATGGACTTGTTAACGTCCATAGCGGTTACCTTCAATAAATTATACTATTAGAGAAGACAATTTGATAAATTCACCCACACAAAAGTATCTATGACACAAAATGCTGTCTCTTTAAGAGGCTTCTAATTTTATAAGATAGACTAGAAGCTCCATAAAGAAATAGACTGAGAATAGTTAGAACTGTTGCTGTTTTTGTTATTACTGGTATTTTATCTATATACCCATAGATTCCATTACACTGCCTGACACATGGAATGCACACACACAAAGCAGCTGTTGAAAGATCCGCTAAGGAAGCACTTAACATACCCAAAAATACTAGGTTAAAATATAATATCTAACATCATTAGGAAGGCAGCAAATGGATGCTTTTGAACAAAAGGCCTTTGTCACGGCTCAATAGGTTTGTGCTCACTTTGATTTGTCCCTTAGTTCACATGATGTTGATCTGAATTTGTTAACATTTTGCACCTTTTCATAGGCACCATTGTTAATTACTAAGGCAAAGGGATTGTGGATTGATTATAGTTTCCAGGACATTGAAAATAATAGGGAGACAATTCTGGGAACAAATGCTTACCTAATCATTGTACCTCATGGCTCTCATAGTGGTCTTATGTGACATAGTTTTAGACCATCAAGAATATATTCTTTTATATTAAGTAAAATTTAATTTTATTTTTCTTTGAAAAGGATGGGCAATTGTATTAATACCATCTCCACCAGTGATTAGGAATACCATCTGTAATGATCAGTTTTATTCAACTTGGTTAGACTGAAGTCCTCAGTTTTCAAACACTAATTTAAGGTGTTATATTATAGATGTGACTAAAGTCCATATTCAGTTGATTTTAAGCAAAGGATATTATCTTAGATAATTGGGGAGGGGGCAGATTCAAACCAGTGAAAGTTCTTAAGAGCAGAAGTAAGGCTTCCCTGAAGAAGAAATTTCACCTGCAGACAGCAACTATAGCCTGAGAATTTCAGCCTGCCTTTCTTATGGCCTGCTCTGTGGATTTGGAATGGCCTAGCCAGGCATCACAATCATTTAAGTCAATTCCTTGTAATAAACGCCTTAGTACACATCTCCACAGGTTCTGATTCTCTGGTTGAACCCTGAATGACCTGCCATCTTATCATATGCAATGTTTTGACATATAAATGGAAATCTTTTTGAATGCCCTATATTCTGTTCCATTCATTTGACTTTAAATCAAGTTACTTTTTGTGTGCAGAATATATCAATTTTTAGTAGGAATTTATTAAATCATCTCACTAGAAAGTAGATATGAGTAGTAAAATACCTCACTAGAAGAGAGAAAGATTTCTTTATAATTTTGTCAAATTTTTATTTATATATATTGCATTGAGGATCTGTCAATATCACTAATTCAGTCTTGAGTAAAACAAAAACCTACTAACAGTTCTTTGAAGTAAAATCGTAGGTCAATTTAGAGACCATTCATTAAGTATTTCCCCACTGGAGTCTTGCCTAACCAGCCTAACCTACTGATCAAAATACCTCTTCCAAGGAGGGAAGATGAGCTATTTATGTGATCCTCTCTGATATCCAGTGAAGGTTTAATATGCTGTCTACATTACTGCCCAGGTCCCTTTGAAAATCCTGCCTAATTTCTTTGAACTATTATATTTTAGTTTAAATGTTTTTTAATTTGAATTTTATTCTAAAATATAGCTGTGGAATCTTTCTCATTAGAAACACCTAAGAAATTCTAGATTAAGTATAAAAAAGTTTAAATATATACATATAATCCCAATATCAAAAAGGATCTTAATTAATGTCTATTCAAATGACCCATCTAGAGCTATTTGGATATACATCTAACAAAGTGATCCTGTAAATAAAGCAGGAATACCTTTGGCATGAGAAGTTCACCAAGGGAGGGAATGTACTCAACCGTTTCTCTTGTTGGAAAAGTTCTTCCTTAGATTGCACTGATCTGCTTTACTACATATTATCTACAAATAAGCCCTAGTTTTACATTGTAGGGCTAAACCAAAACTAAATCCTCTTTTAAAATATCTTTATCCAAGTCTTCTGATTCTGTCTTCTGAAACCTTTACCAACGGAATTAAACCTCGACCCTCTTCTATGTCTAGATAAGTGTAGGAAGTGGTGAGAAGTAGAATGAGACATTTCAGCTTTTCAGAGAGACATTCCATGTATGACCTTCAGAAATCTAGGTTGCAAGTTTAGCTGGGCAAATTTAGATGTACTGAAAGCTCTTTTAATTGCCATTTCCCATATAAGTTAGGTACTAATACCTGCTTTTCCATCTTATAATGTTCTTTTGAGAATCAAATGCCAGACTGCTTTTAGAATAGTTTATATAATTAAGCATTTAATAGATAACATTTGCAAATTGTTTTCTGACTTGATTTTCACACACTCTATGATTTTGCCATAAATACATTATTACTCCCACTTCAGAGATAAGGATAATAAGGTTGACATAAATTAAGCCAAGTGACTATGTGGAGCTTTAATCACAACTTGGAGTGCTTTTGGGAGAAGACTCTTGGTTCTGCCCTATCTCCTGCTGAGGTGCCAGAGACCATTCTCTTCAGAGATCCACCTGGCCAAGGCTGGGACCTAAGAAGGACATCAGTAGCAAGTATAAAGCATTGGGCAAATATGCAAGAAATTTTTGTCTAAAATGATTACATCCAGAACTAAAATATGAGCAGGAAGGCAGGAAAGAATTGATAATTCTATGATTTTTACAATGTATCAACCTAAGAGTTCAATTAAACTTCAAATTCAGTATAAGGTTTTTCTCTTAATTAAAAAAAATGTTCACATTTGTGGGTTATTTATTTTTATTTATTTTCTTAATTATTATTATTTTTTTTAACGTTTACTTATTTTTGAGACAGAGAGAGACAGAGCATGAACGGGGGAGGGTCAGAGAGAGGGAGACAGAATCTGAAACAGGCTCCAGTCTCTGAGCTGTCAGCACAGAGCCCCACGCAGGGCTTGAACTCACGGACCGCGAGATCATGACCTGAGCTGAAGTCGACCGCTTAACCGACTGAGCCACCCAGGCGCCTCCTTAAATTATTTTTTTTAATATATGAAATTTATTGTCAAATTGGTTTCTATACAACACCCAGTGCTCAGCCCAAAAGATGCCCTCTTCAATACCCATCACCTGCATTCCCCTCCCTCCCACCCCCCCATCAACCCTCAGTTTGTTCTCAGTTTTTAAGAGTCTCTTATGCTTTGGCTGGCTATCTCCCAAAATGTTCACATTTGAAAGAAGAGGTGTCTTCAAAAGTTATAACAACAATCAACATGAACAAGCAATTTTTTGAGCCCCAATCCTGAGAGCTGATACCTAAAGAACTTTCAAAACATTATCTGTCTGTCTGTCTATCTACCTATCTATCTATCTATTCATTTATTCACTGAAGATAGGGTAGAGACAAGCCTGTCTGGAATCTAAAGCTTTTTTGTGTGAATATTTCTAAACATTGTTTTCTAGGATGTGTTTCCTGAGTTGGGCCAGTAGAAATTTTAAATAGCATTTTTTAAAAGAAGTAGGTAGGAAAGCTTTGATTTAATTTCTCCTAGAGTTAAGCAGTTCCTTTAGCTGCTAAGCTAATATTCAGTTTTTATTATCCAACAGAAACCTTTTTCCATTGTGCATTATTCCACTTTAGGTATCCCTTTATACACACAAAATCACACATTCATTATCTGTGGTTGGCAACACATTACCTACAGTTTAAGAGCTAGGAGTATAGGTACTCAGTTCAGGCAGAATTAGATTTGAAGTTTTACCTCACTGCTCATTAGGTATGTGACCTTGAAAAACTTGTTTGCCCTCCTTCTTTGTCTAAGTTTTCTCATCAATAAAATGAGAATATATGCATAAAAATTGTTACAAAGACTAAATTTGAAATATATATATGGATATATGTATATATACAGTGTTTTTATAGAGGTTTTTCAGCTTCATTG